TAAATAGAATCATACAGGGGCCAGCAGGTGGTGTGGTGGATACAGCGCTGCACACCCACGTGGCCAACTGTAGTTCAAGTTCTGGAGCTGATGGCTTGAAAATCACACCAGGTACATGTACATATGTGCCCAAAATCCCAAGAGGAGAAGGAAGGAGAAGGGATTTGCAGCCTGGCCAACTCCCCTGGAGGGTGATTTCTCACTTTGCCCCTCACTGTGTCTGTCTATCTCTCTCCAGCGAACACAGGTGTGCTTTAGAAAAAAAAATAATAATCAGCAAATATTTTTTAATTATTTAATTCTATTTGTCATTATTATTTTTTCTTTTTTGATTTTTTAAAAAGTATCTTTATTTCACACTTAAAATATGAGAAGGCTTTTTTCTACCCAAAGAGTTTATAAATACAGGTGGCAGAGCAAGTTTATCATTTAAAAAGATCACGTTAAAATGGTAAAAGATGATATCCAGAGGTATAGTCCAATCTCTAAAAGACAAGGAAATCTACAAGCAGACAGAGTACCATGCTCTGTAGCTTAATGACTGCACTCGACAGGAAGGGATAAAATTTGTGCGATCCAACAAGGAAGAACAGATCCTGATGAATTACCAAGCTTTCGATTTGACATGACATTCAGCATTTCTGTCCCAATGACTTGGGCTGCACGGTTATACTTTCTTGTTTTCATCACCCAAATTATTGGAAAATTTTGTTGAACATAGCATGATACTGGGATGAAGTAAGTAATCTCTAAAGCTGCCAGTTCATATGTGATGAGACTTTCAATGATAATACCTAATGGTTGTTCATTAATCCTGATGCCGCAATACATAACAAGATAAAGGAACTCGAAGAAATTGGGTCCGTTAGGTTTACAGGACAGCCACTTCCTAAATAGAGTTCATTCGGCTGAGGTTGCAGGTTAGGCACTATAGTTACTCGTCTCACCTGGACCTGGAGCCAGGATTCAGTACAGGTTATACGAAAATCCTCTTGACCATGAATCAAGACAAAAAGAGTGAGGAGCACTCCGAATACTCCAGAGGTCTTCATGGCCACAGATGCCAAACCAAGGTGCCACAGGAAACGAAATCCATCATTATTTTATTTTTTCTAAAATGTTGCAGTAGAGGCTCATGCACTCACCAGAAACAGACAGACAGACGGAGAGAGAAAGTGAGAAAGCAAGCCACCAGGTCCAGAACTCGAAATGCTGTTAGCCATATGGGAGTCCAGTGCTTTAGCCACCATGCCACCTTCTGGCCCCTCAACAAATGTTTATTGCACACCGAATGCACTGTATTAGGTGTTGATGATTCCTAAGAGAACAGAACAGGCAAAATCCTTGTTTTCAGGGAATTTATATTCTATTAGTAGTACGGGAGACTGACAGTAAGCCATTAAACAAAGAAATATGGGAGACTCCAGAAAGTTCGTGGAAAATGGAATTAAAGTACAAGTTTATTCTGGTGTCCAAAACAACAACAACAACCTAAAATATGTGCATAGTTTTTCCATAAAATGCATTTCCCATGAACTTCCTGGAAACCCCTTATATATGCTGGATCTGGTAACATCAAGGACAAAAATGTTTAAAGCAGGGTAAGGAGATAGAAAATTAAAGGGGAAGAAGGTGAACTATTAAAGGCGAGTGGGATTTTTAACAGAGACCCCAAACCAGTGGGGAATCTAGCCGTGCAAACATGTGGGGAATGTGTCTGAAGGAGAGAATGTCAAGTGCAAAGGCCTGAAAGAGGGTATGCCTGGATTGTTGGCAATACAGCCTGGAGGCCAATGTGCCAATATGAATTATTTAATTCTATTTATCATTACTATCATTTTAATTATCTATAGGGCACGTGTGCTTGCTAGCACGAGAAAGAGAAAGTAAAAAAAAAAAAGCAAGATGCTAGGTCCAGGACTCGAACGCAGTCCCCCAAGTGGGAGTCCAAGGCCTTTATCACCATGCCACTTGCTGGCATCCCTCTAGCTTATATTTTAAAGGGATCACCCTGGCAGTTGGATGAGCACTAGACTCTAACTTTGTACTTACTTCATTTCACATGTGTGAAGATTTATCCAGAGTTAATTCCTGGAGGTAAACTTTCTGGGTCTCAGGGAAAATACATTTGCCATTTTGATACTGTAAAATCTCTACCTAAGAACTACTTCTGATATCCAGATTTTTGAAGCCTGTTTCTTCACAGACTTACCAACACCAAGAGGGAAACTTTGATGGAGATTTTCTTTCTTTTTCTTTTTTTGGAGTGATTATTGACCAGAAGCCAGAAAATCAAGATGTTGATAGGGATGCATTTCTTCTGGAGGCTCTAAGAAAAAATGCATTTTCTTACTTTTTCTAGCTCCACGTTCATCCCTCAACTTGTGACCCATCCTCAGTCTTCAAATCCAGCAGCACAGCACTGTCCAATCTCTTTCCTCTGTAACTACATTACCTTTTACCACTCTGTTCCTATTGCGTCTTCTTATAAGAACGCTCTTGGGGACCAGCAGATGGCATGGTGGTTAAGGCACTGGACTCCCACATGGCTGACTGCAGTTTGAGTACCAGATCTGGCTGCTTGCTTTCTCATTTTCCCTCTGTCTCTCCTTCTCTCTTTGTCTCTCTCTGGTCAAATTAGCATAACAATAATAATAATTAATAAAATTAAATAATAGAATTTAAAAAAAAAAAGAATCCTTTTGATTACATTGGGCCCACCCAGTTGATGTGGGATAATGTTCCTATCTCAAGATCCTAAATTTAATCACATCCACAAATCCCTTTGCTGTGTAGAGTTTCACAGCTTCCGGGGATTAGGATGTGGACATCTTTGTAACAGAAGTGGGTGTTACTTAGCCTGCCAGGGGGAGATTTGCCATTTGTCTATGATAGGAAATGCAAGTGCTTTTTATCATTGCCCTGTGTCTTAGTATTGCCTATGGTTTTGTGGTTATTTCTTTTCACCTTTTGATGTGGTTACTAGAAAATTTTACATTGCACTTGTGGCTTACATTATATTTATATTAGATAATACTAGTTTAGAGGAAGTAGTTGTGTATATAGTTATTTGTTCATATTACAGTGATGATTTTATTTTTTTTAATTGAAATTAAGTAGGCAGCAGGTGGCATGGTAGTTAAGGCACTGGACTTCCACATGGCTGACCACAGTTTGAGTCCTGGTGGCTTGCTTTCTTACTTTCCCTCCATCTCTCTCTCTCTCTCTTTCTCTCTAGTGAGCACATGTGCCCTGTAGAAAAAAATAAATATTAATAAAAATAAATAAAATAATTTTTTAAATGAAATTAAATAATATACTGTTATATACTTCCTTATGGCCTTGCTTATTCTTTTTAAAAATATTTATTTAATTTATTTTATTTGTTATTATTTAATTTGATAAGAGAGGGACAGAGAGAAAGAGTAAGTGAGAGAGCAAGCCACCGGGTCCAAGACTTGAACCATGGTCAGCCATGGGGTAGACTAGCACCTTAACCACCATGCCACCTGCTGGCCCATCTTTTGACATTCTAATTTTTCTGTATCTTTATACTTAAAATAGGTTTGTGTATGCTTGCCACAAAGATAGAGGCAGAAAGCGAGAAATCATCCCCAAGAAGGATGGCCATGCTACAATCCCTTTTCCATTTTCCTCCTGGAATTTTGGGCATGCACGCACACGCACCCAGCATGAGTTTTAAGCTGCCAGATCTGCGACATAAACCTCGGTTAACTATGTGGGAGTTCAGCCACATAAACATTATACCATCTGCTGATCTCTGGCCCTGATTATTCTTTTTTTTTTTTTTTTTGGAGAGGTTTTTGCTATAGGGCGTGTGCATCACCAGAAAGACAGAGAGAGACACAAAGCGAGAAATTACCCCCCAGGGGGATGTCCACACTGCAATCCCTTCTCCCTTTCTTCTCTCGGGATCTTGGGCACGCATGCACACGTGCCTGGCATGAGTTTTAAGCCACCAGGTCCAGGACGCGAACTGTGGTTGACTACGTGGGAGTCCAGCGACATAGCCATTATGCCAACTTCTGGTCCTTGTTTATTCTTAAGAGAATAAATTTTGATGAATACTATATTCTTCACTATAATGGGTTATCTCCTTTCTGATTTTTCTGTTTTACTATTTATAAGAGTTGCAGTTCCTGGGGCTTTCAAAAAAAAATGATGTGAACAAAGAGAATTAGTTTAGAGGTCTAAATTTCTACTCTCAGCATTATTCAATAGAATATATTTTAATAGAAGTTCCATAGCTTAAAATAAATTTGCTCTACCATTTTTTGTTTCACTTTTTCTTTATTGAGAGGTTTTTTCTATAGGGCACATGTGCTCACCAGAAAGACATAGAGAAACAGAGAGACAAAAAGCGAGAAATCACCTCCCAAGGGGATGGCCACACCACAATCTCTTCTCCATTCTCCTCCATTCTCCTCTCGGGATCTTGGGCACACCCCATGTGGCGCTTGGGGGGGGTCCAAGCCACTGGGTCTGGGACTTGAATCATGGTTGACTACTTGAGTCCAGCAACATAGCCATTATGCCAACTGCTGGTCCGGTTTGTTTCACTTTTTATCTTTTCGCTTAAAAAGCTCATACAGGGGCCAGCAGGTGGCATGGTGCTTAAGGACACTGGAACTCCCACATGGCTGACCTCAGTTTGAGTCCCGGGCCTGATGGTTTGCCTTCTCTCTCTCCCCTCTCTCTCTCTCTCTCTCTCTCTCTCTGTTCTCTCAGGTCAAATTAAAAATAAATAAATAGATAAATAAATAAAGTTAGATGAAATAATTCTCTAAAAAAAAAGCACGCACACACATACATACACCCCTTTTAGTAAAAAGCTGAGGTTCAACACTATCTAGCTCTGTCCTGTAATAGTCTGAATGTTTTAAACAGTTCATTTCTTTACTCTTTTCTTCTTCAAAAACAGAAAACAATTAAGTTATTCCTAAAGCCTGTTTTATCTTGGCTTTTGTTTGGATTTTTAGGAAAATCATATCACAGATGATATTGGAATATCGACTTGGAAGGAGCAGACTTTTCTCTCCCATGGTGCCTTGCTAGCGAAGAGCTGCCAAGCTGCAATGAAACTAGCAAACCATGATGCTGAGGTTCAGGGGATGGCATTTCAGTACGGGAAGCACATGGCCATGAGTCATAAGGTATTTGCACACCGTTTATCTCTTTTCAGTACTTAAATAGCTAAAATGATGCCGAGGAAACCTTTTGCCAGTTAATAAACTGCTTTTAAATCTCAAAAAAATGTTTATTTTATGCTTACGTCTATCAGCATAGATGATGGAGGTTGTATAATATAAACAGTACGATTGGTAAGTACTGTGTAATTTTTTTTTTTTTGGAGAGGTTTTGCTATAGGGCGCATGTGCTCACCACACAGAGAGAGACAGAGAGACAGAAAGCGAGAAATCACCCCCCAGGGGGGATGGCCATGCCGCAATCCCTTCTCCTCCATTCTCCTCTCGGGATCTTGGGCACACACACACACGCGCGCCCGGCATGAGTTTAAGCCACTGGGTCCAGGACTTGAACTGCAGTCGACTACATGGGAGTCCAGCAACATAGCCATTATGCTAACTGCTGGTCCCAGTACTGTGTAATTTTGACAGAAAGCTACAGTTGACTTAAACCATATTTGTGACGTTTATCGTTTCTTAACACCTGAAAGAGCTCTCAAAGTTATTAAGTAATTTGCAACATTGCCATTCACAGATGGGAAGAATATTTGTTGTTTTTGTTACAGTTCCCTTATAGTTCCTTATGTAAAGCAAATTATAACAAATTACTGAAATTTAGAATATACTAAATAATATTGGCAGCTTTCATTCTAATAATGATTCAAAATATAAAGTGCCCCAAAATGAGCTGCTAGGTTGTTGCCTCTATATACTTGATTTAAAATTTTCACTTACTATATCTTTTTCAGATGTTACTTAGATAGCTCATAGGGGCGGAGATATACATATATGTAATATCTGCAGCTGAGTTTTTGCATATTTTAGTTAATCTTAGATTCATTTATTGCATAATTATATTTATTAACTCTTTATTTAGATCTTTATCTTTTTCTAAAAAGTAAAATAAAGGCTCCTGCCAAATACAAGAAGAATGTATTGGGACCAGCAGTTGGCATAATGGCTATGTCGCTGAACTCCCATGTAGTCGACCGCAGTTCAAGTCCTGGACCCGGTGCCTTAAACTCACGCCGGGCATGTGTGCATGTGTGCCGAAGATCCCGAGAGAAGACTGGAAGAGAAGGGATTGTGGCGTGGCCATCCCCTCCAGGGCATGATTTCTCATTTTCTGACTCTCTGTCTTTGTCTTTCTGGCGAGCGCATGCACCCTATAGCAAAAACCTCTCCAAAAAAAAAAAAAAAGAATGTATCAGGGAAAGATAATTAAGTCTAAAGAATTTTATAGGTTATTGTTAATCATTTGAAATGTGCTTTTTATTTTATTTTATTTATTTTTACAGATTTTTGCTATTAGGGCATGTGTGCTCTCCAGAGAGACAAACAGCAAGAAATCCACCCCCCGGGGGATAGCCACACAGCAATCCCTTCTCCTCTCAGGATTTTAAGCACACACGCACATGTGCCCGGCGTGAGTCTCAAGTTGCCAAATCTGGGACTTGAACTGCAATTGACCACTACACCACCTGCTGGCTCCTGCTTTTTTATTTCTATTTTTTTGAGAGAGACTTTTGCTATAGGGTGCATGTGCTTGCTGGAGAGACAGAGACAGAGAGACAGAAAGGGAGAAATCACCCCCCTAGAGGGGATGGGCACACTGCAATCCCTTCTCCTCCATTCTACTCTTGGGACTTTACACACACACATGTACCTGGTATGAGTTTTAAGGCACCGGGTCCAGGACTCAAACTGTGGTCGACTATGTGGGAGTCCAACGACATAACCATTACACCATCTGCTGGTCTCAGAAGATGTATTTTAAAAAGTAGGGGCCAGGGACCAGCAGATAGTGTGATGGTTACATCACTAGTCAACTACAGTTCAAGTCTCGAACCCAGAGGTTTAAAACTCACACCAGGCATGTGTACGTGTGTGCCTGCCCAAAATCCTGAGAGTAGAATGGAGGAAAAGGGATTGTGGTGTGGTCATGCCCCTGGGGTTGATTTCTTCCTTTCTATCTCTCTGGCGAGTGCACATACTCTCACACTCTATAGCAAAAATCTCTTTCAAAAAAATAAAATATCTCTTCTAAAAAAGTTCATCCCTGTTTTTTGCTTCATTAACTGGTGCTTCCTGAGTAGGACTAAAACATGCTACTGTGTATACATTTCACTGATTTACCTGTTTTAACTTCTCCTTCTAGATACATTCTGACCTCCAGCCTTTTATGAAAGAAAAAGCCAGTGACTCCACCACTTTTAATCTAAACTCAGCTCCTGTAGTCTTCCACCAGGAATTTCTTGGGAGAGATCTATGGATTAAGCAAATTGGAGAGGTAAAGTGAAATGACTTCTTCTTTAGGTACCATTAGTACTTCATTGATTTTAGAACATAGTTTGTATTTTACAATTTAAGGCTCTGGATCAGCCATATAAAAGCATATTCATATAACAGGTAAAATTCTCTCTTTCTAATCTACATTTAAAAAAAATAGAATGTTACTTAAAAGTTATAGCCTGCACTACTATGTTTTCTTATTATCTGGGCTCTTAGAATATTGTAACACAAAACTAGTGCCTGTGGTGAATGCTAATTAACTCAGATGATTTTTTTTTTCTAAAGGCTTTCAAAAATTGGGCTATGGTAATAGCACCACCCTTTAACTGACGGCAATTTCCCATCTGTGGACTCTAGCGCAAGCTGCAGAATTCCAGGAGCTCCGTCTGTCAGCTCATTGGGTTATTTTAAAACAAACTTGGACCCTGAATACTCGTTCTGAGGCATTACCAAAAAGGGAGGGGGAAACATGATGAAGTGGGGGAGGATAAAGGGACTTACATTGACTGCATTTGCTACTTTTTGGGGAGGGGTGAGTTGGCAGATGAAACATTTTTGGTTTTCTACTAATTCAGAAACTTGTATAAAAAGTTTTTGCCTTTTTATCCAAAGCTTCATGGAGCTTATGTAACTTCATGGTTGTAATTGGGTGGGGTTTTTGGTTTGGTTTTGTTTATTAATTTGCTAGAGGGTGCATGTGCTTGCTAGAGAGAGACAGAAAAAAAGAAGTGAGAAAGCATCAGGGCCATAGGGCATGGTCATGCTGCAGTCCCTCTCTCATTTCTCATTTTCGAATTTTGGACATGCATGCACGAACATACGGCCAGGTTTGTCTTTCAAGCTGCCAAGTTCAGCCGTGTGAGATGCAACTGCCTTAACCATCATGCCACCAGCTGGAGAAAAATTAGGTGGGTTAATCAGAGGCTGTGGACATGGAACTACATGAGGCTGAAGGTGAGGGTAGCCACCATACGTACAGCAGAAAGAAAGCCTATGTGACTACACTCTGGGGTGACAGTCCCCTCTCCTACCCCTCTTCCTTTACTGACTCTCAAAATGTTGGGGCCGGCAAGTGGCAAAGTGGTTGAGGGTGCTGGACTCCCACATGGCAGACCACGATTCAAATTCTGAGCCTGGTGGATTGCTTTCTCACTTTCCCTTTCCCTTTCTTTTTCTGATCAAATTGAAAAATAATAATAGATGAATAAATAAATAGTTCTTTTTTAAAAAGTACTGGCAGCCAGCTTAAAATACTGTACTGGAAGGTCTTTTCTCTCCTTCCCCTCTTCTGCTTCTGGTAAGTGCATGTACCCTCCGGAAATTAAAAAAAAAAAAAGAAAGGGAGGGGTAGGGAAATCAGAATAGTGTCTCATTAATGACCCTGGAAACTTCAAGACAATAGAATAATACCTTCAAAATAAAGGAAAAAATTGTTTCCAACTTAGAATTTTATGCTATATCATCAGGTGCAAGATCAAATAAAGACAATTTATTAGGTCGGCAGGGAAGTCACCATGTATTTTTCTATGTTTTCTATCTAAAAATGTGTCATGACTTTCCCAATGATCCAATAAGACAGATAGAAAGGCTCAAGTTTTCAAGGAATAAGTGATATACCAGTTGTTTTTAATAAACTTTTTTTAGAATTATTTTATTTATTTATTTTTAATTTGACTAGAGAGGGACAGAGAGAGAGAAAAACAGAGAGAAGAAGTGAGAAAGCAAGCCACCAGGTCTGGGACTGGAACCGTGGTAGCCCATGTGGGAGTTCAGCACCCTTAACCAGCATACCACATGCCATCCCTGATATACAAGTTATTCACAAATTAGTCAGATAAAACTATTGAAAATAGGACACATGGAGAGAGTTTGTTCATCATGAAATGTCTTGATGTTTTTTCTGTCAGAACTTGTCACTCAAGAATGAAGTCAGATATGAACACAATCTTCCCAGCCCCCAGTGGTCACCAAGACTAGTAGTTGGACAGTCCATGGAGACAGGCCATTACAGAATGTGTTGACTGTAGAGAATTTAAGAATAATAATGAAACTATTCAAAAGTTGGTCTAATGTTATTCCCATAAACTGGTGGTTCTGCACAATTTCAGAATTTGCATACCCCTCCCTGTAGGAGCCAATGTTGGGCACCCCAAATAGAATCCATCAAAACAACAAAGAGAGGGGCCAGCAGGTGGCATAGTGGTTAAGGTGCTGGACTCACATGCTTGACCACCTCTTGAGTCCAGACCCTTGAGTCCTAGACCCGGTGACTTGAAGCTCATGCTAGACGCATGTGCATGTGTGCCCAAAATCCCAAGAAGACAGTGGATAAGGGGGGATCACTGTGTGACCATCCCTGCTGGGGATCTCACTTTCTTTCTCCCTGTCTCCCACTGTCTTTCTAGCAAGGGCATGTGCCCTCTAACAAAAATCTCCTTAAAAATAACAAAGAGAAAGACATAGAATCTAGGAACTAGGGGTTCGAGCATGAGGCAGTGGGAATTCCCAGGGCATTGTGAAGGGAAAGATAACAAACAACAGTAATAGTTACTACATGCCAAGCTTTGTTCTAATGAGGAATCCCAGGCAAAGAGACGAACTAAATTGCACAGTCACACAACTAGCAGGAGGTGAAGCCCAGATTTAAATCCAAGCAGCCCAACTCCAGGGCCCACGTCCTTAGGTAGTGCACTATACCGTCTGTCATCCTAGCAAGTCCTGGGCTGATGGCTGCCCATCCAGGCCACATTGGAACAGGAGGTCAGAGATCTCCAGGAGGAATACCCCCAAAGGTAAATCAGCTAGTGAACTTGAACACACTCAGAATTTAGAGTTGAATTATCGGTATAGAAAACTAAATGTTCTAGTTACAATTGCTATATAACAAATTACCCCCAAAACTTAGCTCCTTAAAATACCATTTTATGGGGACTAGCAATTGGCATAATAGTTTACATTGCTGCATTCCCATGTAGTTCACCGCAGTTCTAGTCCTGGACCCAGCAGCTTAAAGCTCATGCTAGGTACATATGAGTGTGCACCTAAAATCCTGAGAGGAGAAGGGATTGTGTGTGGCCATCCCCCCAAGGGGTGATTTCTTGCTTTCTGTCTCTCTGGTGAGTGTACCCGCCCTATAGCAAAAATCCCTCTTTAAAAATAAAAATTTATGAGCCAGCAGGAGGCATGGTGGTTAAAGTATTGGATATCACATGGCCAAATCTGCAGTTAGAGTCCCAGACCAGGCAGCTTGAAAAACGTGCTGGTTGTGTGTGTATACATGCCCCAAATACCAAGAGAAGAATGGAGAAGAGATTATGCCATGGCCACCCCTCTTGGGGGGTTGATTTCTCACTTCCCCTCTCTCTGTCTCTCCCCAGTGAGCACATGTGCCCTCTGGCCAAAAAACTATAAAAATCAATAACCATTTTATTATATTCATGCATTCTGTGGATCAAAAATTTGAACAGGGTATAATGGGGATGACTTATCTGTGCTCCGTGATGTGTGGGGCCTCAGCTGGAAACCCCTATGTTGGAGGTGACTCAATTATTTGGGACTGAAGGCATCTGGAAGCTCCTACACTTGCACCTGGCATTCAGGCTAGGATGTCTAGAAGACTAGGCTGCTGGCCACCAGAATGTCCACACATAACCTCTCTAATCAGCTTGGCTTCCTTGCGGCATAGCAGCCTCAGAATAGTCCAGCCTCTTAGAACTTTGAACACAGGTGTTCCATCAAGCAAAGCAAAGGCTACAGCTTCCTTTCTGACCAGTCTTCACTGTCACAGTGTCATTTCCATGGTCTCCTTTTTTTTTTTTTTGGAGAGGTTTTTGCTATAGGGCACATGCGCTCACCAGAAAGACAGAGACAGAGAGACAGAAAGCAAGAAATCACCTGCTGGGGGAATGGCCATGCCGCAATCCCTTCTCCTCCATTCTCCTCTCAGGATCTTGGGCACACAAGCACATGTGCCCAGCATGAGTTTAAGCCACCAGGTCCGAGACTTGAACTGCGGTCAACTACATGGAAGTCCAGTGACATAGCCATTACACCAACTGCTGGTCCCCATGGTCCCCTTTTAAAATATTCACAGGCCCACCAGATTCAAGTGGAGGGCCACATGCTTGACATCTACATGCAAAAGTGTCGGAGAATTTGGGGACTATATTTTAAAACAACCACAGTAAACATATAAGATAAAATAGGGCAATTATTAGTTGTAGTAAAAAAAAAATGTTTAAATATAAGAAAAAATGTAAACAGGCCAGCAGGTGGCATGGGGCTTAAGGTGTTGAGCTCTGACATGGCCAACCACAGTGCGAGTTCCAGACCTGGTGGCTTGCTTTCACTCTCTTTCTCACTCTCTCTCTCTCTCTCTGGTGAGAGCACATACCCTATAGCAAATTAAATAATATTAATAACACAATTAAATAAATCTTTTTTTAAAAAAATGTAGTCGCACTACTCCACATGGCTTAGAGAATGTTTATATAGCATGAAAATGTGAAGGGCCAGCAGGTAAGTATGGTGTTTCAGGTCCTGGATGCTACATGGCCAACTGTGTGGTTCAAATCCCAGACCTACAGGCTCAAAAAGCGTGCCAGGTGCATGTCTGTGCGAGCCAAAATCCTGGGAGGAGAATTGCAGAGAAGGGATTGTGGTGTGGCCTTCCCCCCTGGGGGTGATTTCTTTCTTTCTTTCTTTCTATCTCTCTGACTCTGGCAAGTGTCCTTACCCTACAGCAAAAAAAAAAGTAAATACTGAATATTGATTTTTCTTTTTTGAGAATTTTTGCTGTAGGGTACATGTGCTCACTGGAGAGACAGAAAGCAAGAAATCCCCCCTCAGGGGGGATGGCCATACCATAGTCCCTTCTCCTCCAGTTCCTCTTGGGATTTTAGGCACACATGCACACACACCCAGCGTGAGTTTTAAGTTGCTGGGTCCAGGACTTGAACCATAGTTGAATCCAGCAATGTAACCGTTATGCCATTTGCT